TTAATCGTCGTAGAAGATATCTAACAATAGAGAGTGAACATAATCTATATGCCAAATAATATTCAAAAGATAATTTTTCTCAAATTTGAATTTTAGTTATAATGGAAATGATAAATTCTCTTTATTTCATTGATTTTTTAATATGTCGCAATTGTATGTATAAACGAATTCATTTAGATTGCATCTTCAAAAATCAAATTTCGACACTTATTATCACAATCAGTCTTAATAAAACTGAAGACACAACACAAGATGTTGCAAAAATATTGTGTAATCGTATCTTTTCTATCTTCATCAATTTACATTGTTTAAAGTTCGAATCATTTTCGTATATGTATATTAACGATATTGAACGACTAACATTTAGCCAGGAATCTCCAACGTTTTACTCTGCGAATTTAATGGAACTATATATTAATGTTGAATATTTCATGGATTGTCTCCATCTTCTAGATGGTCGTTTTAATCAACTTCGAACATTTCAAGTTAACGTTCATTACTTCTTTTCGTTTCCGTTACCGATTGTCAATAAGGTATGTCAATTGAATTGACATAAGAGAATTATTCTATGAAAGAATTTTTTTTTTAGGAAAAGTTGTTCAATTTAAAATGTTTTTCATTGACTTGTGTAATGGATATATTGTGTTACGATGAAGAGGTTGTACCACTTTTATATCGAATGATCAATCTAGAAAAACTTTCATTGAATATTTCCGTTCATCGTTCAACATTTATTGATGGAAATGGTTTAAATGATATTATTAGTCATATGCCAAACTTGAAGAACTTCATATGTAGTATTCATTCAAATGTATATATTGATGATCTAATTCATTTACCATCAAATCAAAGCATTCAACGTACATTGAGAAATCTTGAAAAGTATGAAATTGTTTCGTATACCGACTATTTTCCAAATGATAAAATTGGTCAATGTCATATTTTTTCTCATTCATATGCGACGAATAGTTTACGTAGACTTACAAATAGTTTTCCAGGTGGATTATTCAAATTCGTCCACGAAATATCACTCTATGATGAACATCCTTTCGAACACGAATTTTTTGTTTGTATCGCTCAAGCATTTCCATTTCTTAAAATCTTAACTATAGATAATAAGTCATCACAAAGTAAGAGACATTGTCAATCATCAAATGAAGACAATCGAAATTTGTCAATTGTTGAATATCATCATCTTATTCAACTTCGTCTTTTCACTGCTCATGATGATTACATCGAACAATTTCTACTGGATACTAAAACACGTTTATCAAATGATATTTTTCTTGGTGCTAACTATGATGGTCTTCGAAGGGTGACACACGAATTCGCAAGAGAAACAACGCGAACTAACTGCGCGAAAGTCAAACATTTATTTAATATCGATGAATTAGAAGTTCCCAAACATTTCGATGTATATTTTCCTCACATAGAAAAAATATGATTTTGATTTGATTGAATAAAATGAAAAAAAGAACAAGTCGAGCTTTTTCTGAAATACAATTATATGGTTTTATGTAGTTTGAACAAGGCAAAATATCGATAGATTATTCAAGATTGGGAAAATGTGTAGCTTATCATGTCAGTTTAAAAAAAAAGTAAAATCGATTCTATCGTTTACATTAGCCTTGGTTCTTTTCAGTGATGAGCACAGCATTGGTTATGTAGTTGTACTGTCTCGTATGACAGGAGAACAAATCGTTTTTAGTTCTGTTCTATTGATTAAACCCCCCCCCCCCCCGTATTAGAAGCCCCCCCTGGGCTTCTAAAGTATCCAGCATAAAAATTTTTTGGAGGGGGCTTCTATTATGTCCTATGACTTTTCGAAGGTTTTCGGGTACCAAAGTTTTTCAAAAGCCTTAGGAGGATTTTCAGGATTTTATACAGATTTTTGAGGGTTTCGAAGGAGTTTTTGAGATTTAAATACGGTTAACTACGAATTTAATGCTTTTTTACCTTAAAATTTTGTAATTTTTTTAAGTTTTCCTGTGAAAAAACTGAAAAAAGTTTTCAAAAAACTCTCAAAAAATTTTTAAAATAAGGAGGGCTTCTAATATGTCTGGCATATCGAATCCTCCAGAGGGGGCTTCTAATACGGGGGGGGGGGGTTTAAAGGAAGAAAGGCGATTAGTCTGCTATCACTGAACTATAAATTCAGATGTTAAAGCAAATGGTGCGTTTTTTTAGATGATCAAAAGATCATATGAGTGAGATATTTACTTAGAACGCTTGCTCAAACTATTTGCTAAGTGTAACACATCAGCATTTCATTGTTACTTTTCATTTTTTGTTGCTTTTTCCTCTATTAAACGGTTGTGTTCAACTTTGTACGTCAGTAATATCAGATCTGCTTGATTACAAATCATTGCTATAGGTAGTCTAAGATAATTTTTTTGTATACATATGTGTAGGTTAATAAAATTTTTCACTATCAAAAGCGACAACTTACGAGGGACATACCCGAAGTGATCCATGGCTTTTGAATCGGAACTATTTGCATCATGTAGTGCCTGTTGAACTATGAATACTCTAAAAAGAGTTCGGGCCCGTAGCTTATTGTTGACAAGATCCTGCATTTTTAGGATATTTTTTAATA